GGGAGGTGAGTGGAAGATGGGCTAGATGGGTACTAAGGAGGGAACTTGTGATGAGCACTGGGTGTTTTATATAATCAAGTGTTTTGATGAATCACTGAATTCCACCCCTGAAACTAATATTGCACTGTATGTTAACTAAAGTTTAAATAAAAAATAAAGTAAGTAAAATTAAAAAAAAAATAAAATAAACACACATCTAAGGGCCAACTCTAATCCTCTCCAGAGACCTTGGGGGGAGGGCACTTTCTTCCTATTCTCCTTGTGCTGTACCGCAGATCATTGGTGTGCCCTGGAGGGGAGTTAGTCCATACGACTGATATCCCCTCCTGGGAACACCTCTAGTTGCCTCGCTCTGGTGGCCAGTGGCTCTTGTGTTCACGGTCCCATGGGAATGTAACAAATGAAGAGACAAGACTTGGCAGCTACCAATCTCAGGGCACAGCAGAGACAGTGACCAAAACACACGCTGGTTTCTCTGTGAAAGAGGCTTATTTGCTCCTCTTGGAGCTTTGGCCTGAGGGGTAAACTGCTGGTTTAACACACATCTCGAGGCCCACTTAGGTACCATCTAGGGATGAGGGCCAGTGGGTACCATCTTAGCACTATCTCTCTATCTCAGTCAGGGTTGCTGGTATTTATGAAAGAGGCCTATTGGATTATCTTCATAGCTGTGGCCTGAGGGGCAGGCTTCTAATCTACATCTAGGGGCCAACTTCTCCAGGGACCAGGAAGGGTAGTGGTGTCATTTCTGTGCTCTCCCTCTGCCCTGCCCCAAGTTGTTTGCATCTCTAAGAAAGGTGCTTATGCACACATCTAACGCCCTGGCTGCCCAGAGGACACATCATTTGATAGCCTAAGTCTGATGGCCAGTGGGGCTTATGTTCATGGGTTCAGTGATACAGTAGCAAAGAAAGAAACAGCTCTTAACTGGCCATCAGCACAAAGGGAGCAGACAGAAACTCTTATCTCCTAGTCTTCCTCTGAAAGAGGTCTATTTGCATACTCTACAAGCTACTGCCTGAGGATCTGGCTTCCATCAGCCTGAATCTAGGTGCTGACTGGGATCATCCCATTCAGGACACTGACAGGTCCTAGCACACCCTCAACTACTCAGAGTCACTAGCCTTAAAACAGGCTGTTTTCACAATCACAAAGGTTTGAAAGGCAACCAAGAGATAGGGCAAGGTTGAATAATAAAGTTCATCTACTGCACAATGCTATTCCTTTAAGACTGGGAGAGGAGGCTATTTTATCTAATGTGTGTACATTAACACAATGAAAATGAAGAAATAGGGGAATATGTTCCAAGTGAAAGAACAAGATAAAACATGAGAAAAAAATATTTTCAGAGAGAGTGTGCAAGCGAGTTGGGAGAGGCATAGGGAGAGGGAGAATCTTACACAGCTTCCATGCCCACCATGGATCCTGACACGGGGGCTCGATCTCATGACTGTGAGACCACGACCTGAGCCGAAACCAAGAGTCAGATGCTCATCTAACTGAGCCACCCAGGCACCTCTAAGTTGGTAATATCAGGGGACTTTAATACCCTGTTTTCACCAAAGGATAGATCATCCAGACAGAAAATCAATAAGTAAACACTGGCCTTAAATGACACATTAGACCAGATGAACTTAAAAGACATATACAGAACATTCCATCCAAAAGCAGCAGAATGCATACCTTTCTTAAGCACACATGGCTTAAGCAAACACAATCTCCTGGACAGATCATAAATTAGGCCACAAAACAAGTCTTAATAAATTTAAAGAGAATGAAGTCATATCAGGCATCTTTTTCAATTACAATGGTTTGAAACTAGAAATCAATGACAAAAAGAAAACTGGAAAATTCATAAATATATAGAGATTAAACAACATGCTACTGAACAGCCAATGAGTCAAAGAAGAAATCAAATCATAAATCAAAAAATACCTCAAGCCAAATGAAGATGGAAATTCAACACACCAAAACTGAGGGGGGGCAAAAGCAGTTCTAAGAGGGAAGTTCACAGAGATGAACGTCTACGTTAAGAAACAAGAAAGACCTTAAATACACAACCTAACTTGACACTTCAAGGAACTAGAAAAAGAAGAACAAATGAAGTTCAAAATTAACAGAAGGAAGGAAATAACAAGGATAAGAGTGGAAATAAGTGAAGTAGAGACTTAAAAGGCAATAGAAAAGATCAATAAAACTAAGAGCTGCTTTTTGAAAAGAATAAGATAAAACAAACTTTCAGCTAGACTCACCAAGAATAAAGTGAGAGAAAATGCAAACAGATAAATAAAAATGGAATTCTAAAAATTATTCCTGTACTCTATGTGAAGGCAGGAAAAACTAAAAGACATGAAAAACAAAAACAAAACTAATTAAATGACTGACTTAAAGTCCAAAATATCAATTATTATCCTACCTGTAAATGTTCTAAATACATCAAGACACAGATTGGCAGAGTGGATTAGCAAACATGATACAACTTTATGTTATCTATAAGAAACTCACTCTAAATATAATATTGAAAATAAAAGGATGAAAAAGATACAGCATACAAATAATCCAAAGACAGCAGGAGTTATTAACCATAGATAAAGTAGACTTTGGGGCAAAGAAAATTACCAGAGACAGAGAGGAACATTACATAAAAGGGCCAATCCATCAAGAAGGCAGAGCAATTCTAAATAAGCAAACATCCAACCACAGGAATAGACAAATCCACAATTATAGCTGGAGACGTCCACATTTTTCTCTCAACAATTGATAAGACAACTAGACATAAATTTAGCAAGTACATGGGTGAACTCAGTACCATAATCAACCAAAGTATCTGACATTTGCTAAACCTTTTACCCAATAACAAAAGAATAAACACTGTTTTAGGTGCCCACAGAACATGTACCAAGGTTTGCCACATCTGGGCCATAAACCTACTTAAATAAATTTAAAAGACTTAAACTCACACAAAGTGCATCCTCCAACAACAGTGGAATCAAACCAGAAATTCATAACAAAAAGATAATAAGAAAATCTACAGGGGCGCCTGGGTGGCGCAGTCGGTTAAGCGTCCGACTTCAGCCAGGTCACGATCTCGCGGTCCGTGAGTTCGAGCCCCGCGTCGGGCTCTGGGCTGATGGCTCAGAGCCTGGAGCCTGTTTCCGATTCTGTGTCTCCCTCTCTCTCTGCCCCTCCCCCATTCATGCTCTGTCTCTCTCTGTCCCAAAAATAAATAAACGTTAAAAAAAAAAAAAGAAATTAAAAGTCTTTTGTAAAAATATCATACTGTAATATTTATAGATTTCAGATGCCTTATATTCTCTTCAAAACAATATAAGAGTAGGTACATGGATAGTGATATAGAATCAACAAGATTGGTCATGAGTTAATAATTATTGGAACTGGGCATTGAGTTCATGGGGCTTCATTACATACAATTTTTTTATGTGTTTGTAACTTTCCTTAATAAAATTTTTTAAGGATACAATTTGGTTTTCAAGAATAGGATTTTCTTTTATATGCTGTATTTTAGACGGCCTTAGTTAAGGTTTCTTGACCTGGGTGTAATGTATTTCAGAGAATCATGAAGATTATTAAATCAGATCTAGGCAAAGTTGGAGCATAGTGATCCACAAAAAAACAAGGACTGAGTTGAACACAAGATACCACTTGAAATATGACAGGAGATAGATCCTTTAAGTTGTTATCAATTAAAGGTTTTTAAAAATCAAACTTTAACATAAAGGATAACAAGAAAATAATTGGGGGTGGAGGTAAGGAACATGTAAATGATCAAAGCAGTAGGTAAGAAAAATGACTCTACTCTTGTTTCTAAAACACATTGAGGAGATTTGATGTCAAAGAAAAGGTCATGCAGGTGTAAGACAACCAAACTAGAACAAGGGATATTTGCCCATGAGGAAAGAAAAGAATGTGTGGCACTAAAGTGGTATTGACTGAGATTGAAATCTAGGGGGGAGGGTCATTCAAATCTTTACAACCTACTTTCTGCCATCTTGTTTAGTCCTTTTTCTTTCCCCCAACAAATCCAAAGTGACTTAGAGCTAGTGCAAAGGCCCCGAGACTAAGAGGGAAGAATAAGAGACAATGCGAAGTGGATTAAATATGATCTTCTCTCTCTCATTGAATCCTGGATTTAAGAAATAATACAAATTTCTCATCCAGCGCCTATTTGTGTAAATTGGGATCCAGAACGCTCAGGACTTGGCAGGACAAATTGTTTAGTTATGTTGCAGGGCAGTGACTAGAAAATGCTGAGTCGTGGGGACCTCTACTCATTTTCTTTTCTAGATCTCATCCTCAGCAATTCCCAAAGCGGGTACATACACAAACACACACACGTTTTTTTAAGGAGTATGGCTATGTCAAGGGAGCAGACGGGAGCACTCCGAAGGAAAACCCCAAGTGAGTGCCAATCCTAGCAAGAAGTCAGCATGGCTGGAGCATAAATGCAGAGTAACATTGGTACGCACGGGAGACACAGCAACCCGTCAAATCAGAAGCCACGGGAAAGGATTCAAAGAGCGTGCACAGAACCTGCGTATGTCAGACCCCAGGGGGGCTGTCTGAAAAAGCTGGAGGCTGGAGATGCTCCAGCTGAGCTCTGAGGACCTTCAGTTCCAACGCCACCCACCCCCCGGGGCCGCCCCAAATTGGGAAGGGCGGACATTCGTTCCACTGAGATGAACGGAACGTTAAGGCCGTCCCTCCCAAAACTCAGCTAACTTGCCGTTAACCGAGGTTAGAGAGTCCCCTCCTTCTCTACCCGTAGGCCTGAAGGCGCCGCAGAGACAGTTCCGGGTTACGCGCCAGAGCAAGGGGAGGTTCGCACATTTCCGAATCCACGCCTCAAATCCCGGGCTTCCTCCCGCCAGTGGAGGAAGGCAAGAGAAAATGGGCACCAATCAGAATGTAGACATGGAAGACGTTCATGGTCAGAACCAATAGGAGAACTGGAGGGCGGGGCCGAGGATGCAGGTTCGCTCTTCTAGTTTAAACCGCGGCGGCCAGGCGTTAACTGTAGCTTGAAGGTTGGGTGTGCCGTGCGCCTGCGCGAGCTGCTGGACGCTAACGGAATCCTGCGGAGCTTCGCTAGGCCGGCAGCGGGAGTCGGTGCGGCGAGCGGACCTCGGCGGGGCCGGTAAGCGGGTAGAGACTGGAATAGGGGGCGCACGGGCCCACGGGGGCGATCGCCCGCCGTGCGGAGAGGTCGAGGTCTGGATAGCACAGAATGGGAGTACCCTCACTGGTGCGCCGTCTCACGTCCGACATACCTTCCAAAACCGGGTTTACTGCTTCCCAAGGTTGGTGTAAGCTGTGTCGTGCTGTGCCCTTGGCGTGCCTGAGCCCCTTGAAGTCACAGTGGGCTCCCGTGGCGCGCCCCACGTCCACTGCCAGCCCGATAGCTGCCCTGGCTGGCACCTCCGTAACCCAGAGGGCTGCAGGGGAAGGGGGTGGTGTCGCCGCGGGAGCCGGGTTCCCCGGAGGCCACCAGCATCCGAGGCGACGACCGCGCCCGAGGCCAGGTGGGCACCAGGTGGCCTTTGTTGTTGTGCAGCGACCAGTCTTCCGAGCCGGTAGTTGCGCCCTTTGTGAACTTCTGGGTGTAACCGTGCGAGCAGCTCTCTCGCCAATGAGTTAGAATAGGGTGGAAAAACGAACCCTGTAGCCCTACCCCAGATGAAAATAAACCTTTTTTCTGATTGTAAAGTTATACCGTCCCGTTGATTTTAGAAATAAATCCAAGAAGAACGAACGCATAAAGGAAAAAAGGAAGAAAATTCTAGATATTCCACTGGGCCACAGATAACCATCAAAAAAACCCACTTCATATTTGGGTTCCCTTCAGATATATGCGTTTTGAGTATATATACCTAATTATATTCATAAAATATATTTGGTTTTATGTAATTGTTTTAAATATGATAAAGCACAGTCATTTAAAAAGCAGATTATGCCTTAGTAATATTTTAGGAGCAAGTGACTGTCAAATATAGATAAAGCATTATCATTTTTAATGGATGCATGGTACTTCTTACAATGGCACTACTGTACAATATATTATTTAACCAGTCCCCTCACGATGGACACTTGTTTTTCCAGTTTCTTCATCATAAAATAGCATGGTGGTGGTTACAGGTATGTATACATGTTTGCATTCTTGTTCAATTTATCTCCTTAGTATAATTCTTGGAAGTGGATTATGGCTTAGACATTGTGGTGCAGTTTAAATTGTGATTCATAATGCCAAGCTGCCCTCTAGAAAAATTGATATCCCCCCATCTACACACACACAGTGTGTAGGGTGCTTATTTCTCCACACTCCGACTGACACTGGGTATGAGAAAATCTTACCAATCTGAAAAGACATCTTAATGTCTTTATTTCCGTTATTAATGAGATTAAACATTTTCTGTGTGTATTGGTCATTATTTCTTCGGGACATTTTCTGTCTTTCCTTTATTCTGGTCCCCTATTCTGGTGCATTTACCTTTTACTAGCTTTCTAAGAGGAATTTGAATTAGTGATTTTGAACCTGTTGCACACATATTTTCCCCAGTTGTCCCTTGGATTATGGTTTTTTGCTGGGTGTTTTGTTTTCTCTTGTTTTGCTCCAATGTTGTGGTTCTTTAAGCTGCTTGCTTTGTTCCAAAGTTGTGGTTCTTTCAGCTACTTGCTTACTTCTCCCCAGAGGTAGAGAAATTTGTTGTAACTCTACAGTAGCCTCCTTGTAATGGTTAGAATCTAACTAGTATCCCAGTTTGAAATCCTCCCCTTTCACCCTTGAAATCCTTGCACTTGGAACTACTAAACCTGGGATACCAAGTTGCTTAGGATTTTTGAAGAGAAGGCACTACTGGGTATTTTGGTCAATATTATCGGTGTCTACAAAATATAAGCTGCTCTAGCTTCTATGTGACAGGTTCCTCCTAAGTAAAGGGAAAGGATTATCAGGTCTTTATTAAAAAGAAAGAACTTACAGTTACCTATGAGCTTTACTACAGTTTATGTTTTACTATTTGCAAACACCCTTCTTCATACATTGAAGAAAAAGGAGTGTGCCCTAATTTAAATGCAAACAAAATAACATGTTAATCACTGTATAGTATAGTAGATATGACATTAAAAAAAATCTCTTTGGGCTTTAGTATTGGAGATCCTCCTAGCCCAGAGTCCTATTCCATTTCTGTCCCTGCTTTATTCTGTTTTATCTTTTTAGTAGGTAGTTTTGTATTGCATGAACATTGAAATAAATGGTGTAATACCTCTCACAAAGCACCATTTTATTTGTATACATACCATATATGTGTATGTTACATATAATACATGTTATGTGTTATATCTTCATATATAATGTATATAATCTCATTTAATTCCTTCCATTTTTTCCAATGAAGAAAATAAGATCTAAGGCCTACTTCTGACTCCATACCGTGAGCCAGAAACTGAAATTTATGATAAATATTACCTCAGATAACGTAAGTAATTTTGCAAAGTTACATTTTAGGATGCATCATTGCTTCATCTGTGATGATTGTCCTGAGTGTATCTATGGTAACTACCAAAAAAATAATGTCACTAGGGGCGCCTGGGTGGCTCAGTCGGTTAAGCGGCCGACTTCGGCTCAGGTCATGATCTCACGGTCCCTGAGTTCAAGCCCTGCGTCGGGCTCTGTGCTGACAGCTCAGAGCCTGGAGCCTGCTTCAATTTCTGTGTCTCCCTCTTGATCTGCCCCTCCCCTACTCATGCTCTGTCTCTCTCTGTCTCAAAAATAAATAAACGTTAAAAAAAATTTTTTTTAAATGTCACTAAATGCTTATTCTTCTAGATTTGATAGTATAGTTTAATTAACCTTGAAAGAATTTTAAGATCTAAGACCCTAATCCTCTAACTCCTTTGCTTCTAAGGAATCTTCCAAGCATGGCGTTTTAGTGTTTTTTGTCCTATGTATCGTTTCTTTAAAGTTGAATTTTTAAAATAGTGATTTCTTAAACTCTTCTTTTCCAGGTTTTTCTCGAAAACTAATGGCAGTGGAGGTACATTGAAATAAGGTAGGAAATTGAAAAAAATAAAATGCTTTGGTTTGTCCTTCCATGTTTAAGTGAGGATATTCTACTAGACTCAATGATTACACTAAAAACAAAAGGATCCTGACATCAAAATTAAAAAGGAAGGCTATCTATATATCTCTATCTCTAGATAGATAGATAGATAGATAGATAGATAGATAGATTTTTTTTAGCAGGGGTGGGTCAGAGAGGCAGAGGGAGAATCCAAAGCAGGCTCCATGCTGTCAGTGCAGAGTGGAGATGTGGGGCTCAAACTGCTGAACCATGAGGTCATGACTTGAGCTAAAACCAAGAGTTGGAGGCTTAAGTGACTGAGTCACCTAGGCGCCCCAAGAATGTTTGCAACTTATGTAAAAGGTGGTGAAGAAGATGATGACTATGCAACTGAGACCATTTGTGGCTCACACAGCACTAGACTGATAAGCTTTCTAAGAGATGCTGTGCTTTATTGAGTTAGGCCATTTTCAGGTAGTATTGTGCCTGGTATAAACCAATGTATCAAATATTTAACGGACTAAATTTCTTACTTTTAATTTCTCTTTTAAAAAATAAGACACTCAGGCAAAGCTCTTTATGAGAATTCAGAGGAGTAGTGAATATTTCATTTGCTTTTTTCTTTTAATTTTTTTAATGTTTGTTTATTTTTGAGAGAGAGAGAGACAAAGAGCATGAGTAGGGGAGGGGCAGAGAGAGAGGGAGACACAGAATCCGAAGCTGCCTCCAGGCTCAGCTGTCAGCACAGGGCCTGATGCAGGGCTCAGATTCACAAGAGTACAAGATCATGACCTGAGTCAAAGTTGGATGCTTAACCAACTGAGCCACCCAGGCGCTCCATTCATTTGCTTTTTTTTTTTTTTTAATTTTTTTTTTTTAACGTTTATTCATTTTTGAGACAGAGACAGAGCATGAATGGGGGAAGGTCAGAGAGAGAGGGAGACACAGAATCTGAAACAGGCTCCAGGCTCTGAGCTGTCAACACAGAGCCCGACACGGGGCTTGAACTCACTGACCGCGAGATCGTGACCTGAGCCAAAGTCGGACACTTAACCGACTGAGCCACCCAGGCACCCCCATTTGCTTTTTAAAAAGACAAAAATAACAGGGGTGCCTGGGTAGCTCAGTCAATTGAGCATCCTACTCTTGATTTTGGCTCAGGTATGATCCCAGGGTCGTAAGATCAAGCCTCGCTTTGGGCCCAGTGCTGAGCATGGAGCCTGCTTAAGATTCTGTCTCTCTCTCTCTCAAAATTAAATAAACAGCATAACAGGTTAGACACTTGTAGGATCAGGCTTTAATGAATTTGAGGCACAGGTTTCCACATGTATGTAAACCCCATTTCACAATTGCTTTTTGCTTCTTCCATCTCTTAATCCTTTTGGACAGGAATGAGAATGTTTGAATTCTCTTACTCAGGTAGGAGCTTCCTTCACAGGGCTTAATGTTCTTTTGGTTTGGGGTTTTTTTGGGGGGGTTTCTTGTTTTATTTTTTCAAAGAGCTGATAATCTGAATGTTTAGGACTTCTTGTAGTACATATTTTCTTGTATTTCTTTCTCTCCACCTACCACTAGCTGCTTGTTGCCTCCTAGATTCTCTTATGGTTAACTGATGCTTTTAATTTCTGTATCAACACAGACTCTCTTTGTTGGTTTCTCCAAAAGAGTATTTTCTTCCTCCATTATATCATGACAGTCCCTTTTGGCTTTTGTTTCTTCCTCAAGGAATGAATGTGGGTGCTCGATACGTCCCCTACGTACAAAATGCTGGATCCGGGATTCTAATCCTTGGCATTTAGGACGATCCATTAGTGGTTTATATGTGCGCATTTTCACTCCTTCTACAAAGGCACTGGTCTGCTTTATGACAGAGGGCTTAACATTTCTCCATTCTATCATTCCATCCATCTCTGGTCCTATAATACATACAGTCATACGTTACATGGATACTTTACCACAGTAGAATCACCTCCAAACTTTACATAAATCTGCTCCCATAACCCCACATAACTGGTTCTGGTAAATAATCGTCTCTTAGGATTTCCCCTGTCATACCTGTCCCACAGGGTACTGCAACACAGTCCAGTCCTTGTAGCATGCTATACAACATGTGAGTTTTCACAGCATGATTAGCCCATAGTTGTTGTAGGTGGGTAACATTGAACTCCTGAACCTCTCGGTCATAAATCCACTTGATATTTTCAAACTTACAGTCATACAAGACTAGAGGAAATTCTACAGCCATACTAGAGGGAAAAAGAGACAAGAAACAGTATGAAAATACACAGCAGCCGTCCAACAGTTTTTCAAATACAAGTGGGGGGGGAGGTAGTTGGGTTAAAAGGAGGGGAAAATCTTTGTCAGTACTGAGTAACAGATAAGAAAGCAAAAAACACCATCCCTAACCTTGAACAACTTTATATTTAAAAGACAAAAACAAAAACACAAGAAACCATGAATCAACTGGTTAGGCCTCAACCATAATGTTATAAAATTATTTTTTACATTTTTTCCCAACTTGTTGATTTTGCAGTATCATAGCCAGTGAGGTTTATCCAAGGTGTGATTATTGCTAATTGAAAACATTTTTATGAACTTGTTAATTTTGCACAGTATGAAGTAAACTAGATTTCACTGCTTTAGAAATGAATTGTTAGTCTGTCTGGCCTCAGCCTAGTCTCAAAAGTCAAACTATTCTTCCTACCTTTCTTGCCATTTCAGACACTGAAAATAAGGAAAAATTCAAAAGTACAGTAGTATGACTGCCCAATAATACAAAGAAAGGAAGATTTATATGAATAGTTTGAATGCTCACTTTTAAACTTCACCAGAACCTAATAATAATACCCTTAAAATAAATTCAGGGGAAAAAACATTTAGGAATGAATGTTATTTTATTTAAGGGGACTGGTCCATATACCTATTTCTTACTAATGGGATAGAACAACAAGAGAAGAAAAAGATAGCCCTCCTGCATATTCATGACATTCTCCAAGTTAGATTCAAAGCTTCAAGAAGACAAAATAAGTGACCTAGTTAATTAGACAGTTGTTGGGAGAAGATATGTTAACCTTTAATTATTTAAAATATTTAATATATTTAAAAATATTCTAACAGCAACAATTGTCTTTTGTTTTTAACGTACCTGTACTGAGGTTTCTGGGGATTTTTCTCTATGTTCAGCAGCTCATCAATAATCTCTGGCTTCTCCATTCCTTGGCCAATCAGAAAAAGGATAGCCATCATACAGCGGACTTGATGATAAAGGAATGCCTGGCCAATCACTTCAAACTGACATAACTGGAAAGGTTCTTGCCATCTCTCCTTATCCAGGCTCTGGCCCACTAGCTGTACTTGAGCAGACAGAATAGTCCTCTGAAAATTGATCACTCCGTTGGCTACATCCATTTTACATAAGTTCCTAAAATCATGTGTGCCAACATACTTCTGAGCTGCATCGTTCATGGCCACAATGTCTAAATCAGCACGAGGGAAAAAATAGCGGTAAGTCCGCTCAAGACAGCTGAACCTAGCACTGAAGCTAGGTTCCACAGGGGCCCAGGCCAGTACACGGATGTCTGGAGGGAGTACCCGATTGAGAATGTGGGTATAGCGGATCTCTTTAGCAGCATCACTGACTTCATCTTTTAAATTACAATCCTCTGAAGCCCTGTCCTTTGGAAAGTGAGAACGAAGGTCAAGAGAAATCACCTATGGAATTAAAGGAAGATGGTTGTTTTAAAGACACAATCTGAATCCTTAGTATGTGCACCTAGAATACATGGGTATCACTTGCTTTAAGAAACAGTATGGTGGCCCTTACCTGTCCAAAGGCACTGACTCCTTTGTCTGTTCGCCCACAGCGGTGATAGTTGGATGTCTGTCTGCTTTCTACCAGTCGAGTCTTGGTTAGAGCCTCAAACAGTTTCTCTTCAATTGTATTGTTTGTGTTTTCCTGACTGGCAAAGCCTTGGTATCCCCAGCCCAAATAGGCTATCTTTAGAGCTACATGTCTTCGACCATGAGCACTGAAATCAAATGCACGCTTAGCTTTTCCAGCTCCTAAAGAATTTTCTCTCACGGTTGAGTCTTTGTTGTTGGCCTGTTCTTTTTTAAGTCTCTGTACCTCCTGCTCCAGTTCCTGTACTCTTTTTAGGAGTTTGACAGTTTGGGTTCTGTCTATGTCACTTTCAGCCATGATAAAAGACAACCAACCCCAGGGATAAAGAAATCATATAGGTCCACTCTACCTGAAAAAAGAGTAAAAGGATACAACAGTTTCAATGCGGATTACGTTGGTGATGTCCATATCATTCCATCATCTGCAAATAGTACCTAAGATTTAATTTAATGCCTAAAGGATATATTTTGCTTCTGCCCAGGGAGACAAGCGTTAGCTTAATTGTTCTGGGTTGATCATCCATAGATACTGTTCTTTTCTATCCTGTCTGGCCAGTTCACAGGCGAAAAGGAAAGGAGCATCAAGAAATGGCATTGTTAAAGTTTAGTCAGAATTTAGGGAAAATATTTGTAGATCCCATTTCTCTCTGCTTCATTAGCTGTGATGATTTATTTGATGATGATCATGTTTTTGATACTTTTCCTTAAAACATTTCCTTTTGACTTCTCATTACACTTGTCTAATCTTTCTAATCTTAAAATCTGTTCATATGGAATATATATGTCTACTCAGTTTCCACTGCTTTCCAGTATTTCATATAAAACGAGTGGCTTGTATATTCTGTCCTCTAACACTCAGTTCTGTCTTAAAGGTGGTACGGCAGAAGCTAGCCTGACTGACGAAACTTGTCAATGATTGTACTTCATATTGCAAGGAGAGCCTGAAGTCAAGGGTTTCCCACTCTTAAGTGGTTTTGATGGCAGAGAGAAGGTAATTAAGCATCATGATCTTTTTTTAAGTTGAATTTCTGTTCTATACCTCTAGCTATTGAAGAGTCAATCTGGCAAATGTAATTAACATGTTGAAATTCCTGACATATTTCAAAATTCTAGCGTTGAATATACTACATCCTTAAAATTGGGACAGTGCTAGACAGTCCATGACTGGTGGTCACTTTATATGGATTGTCACCAAATGTGTTCTAAGGCTATGTTACCTGGGTAGCTCATTTAGTTTCTGGCCTTTGAGAGTTTCTGTATCTATGATATGTTAAAAGTTTAAATACAAAAAAAATGAAACTATAACAAATACTAGAAGAAAACTTTTCTTTTATGGTCTTGGAATGAAAGGCGTTTCTATGTAAGATACTATAGAAGCCCAGAAAATATATACATCTGTTTTAATTTTTAAGGATCAATAAGAGAAAGTCCAACAACCAGAGAGATAAATGGGAAAGGAAAAGCATTTCATACAAAAAGAGAAAAACAGCTGATAAAAGTGTATGAAAAGTCGTTCAGTTCTACTCAATGTAAATACCATTTACAGGAGAACTATTTTTCATCCAGCTGACTGCAGAGGAGGTTTGACAGTACACCACTTTGGAGAGGGAATGGAGAAGCAAGCTCTGGAAGATGCTGTCAGTACAGCCTCTTCACAGGGCAGTTGACAACATCCATCAAATTGAGCACACACATATCTTTTGACCCACCTACTCCATTTCTAGAAATTTTACATACACGTGGGCTTGCACAAGTATGTAAAAACTTGAAAGATACTTGGAACATTCGTTTTTAACAAGACTGTAACCTAAATTAAATCAGGGGCTGAAACGATTAGGGCACATCCATATGTCAGAATTCTGTACAACTTTAAACAAAATGAAGTCCATGTGTGCTGATCTCGCTGGATCACCAAGACCATCTTTAAGATTCAGGGGAGTTGCGGGATGCCTGGGTGGCTCAGCTGGTTAAGCGTCTGACTTTGGCTCAGGTCATGATCTCATGATTCTTGGGTTCAAGCCCCGCATCAGGCTCTGTGCTGACAGCTCAGAGCCTGGAGCCTGCTTTGGATTCTGTGTCCTCCCTCTCTCTTTGCACCTCCCCCCCTCATGCTCTGTCTCATTCTGTCTCAAAAATAAATAAATGTTAAAAAAAAAAAAAAAGATTCAGAAGAGTTGTATAATATGCTCCTTTATGGTATAAAAATGTACATATGAATATGGAAGATTACTAGAGAAAGTGTAAGAAACTACCTTTTGAGAGTGAGACTTGGTGGGGGAAGTGGGGAATCCTTATTTAAAATGACCATGTGCAGTACAGCATAGGAAATCTAGTCATTATTGTATATATAGTATTGTAATAACATGTCATGGTGACAGACAGTAGCTATACTTGTAGTGAGCTTAGCATAACCTATAAACTTGTCAAATGTACAACTGAAGCTAATGAATGTTGTATGCCAACTGTATTTTAATTTAAAAAATTCCCATGTGCATGTACTAGTTTTTCAATTTAATTTAAAAAGAAAAATTGTAGGGCATAAAAGTCCTTATTAGAAAGAAAGAAAAATTGTAGGGATACAGGAAATAGTGTGGGCAGTAGCTACCTGTCCTAGATCCAGTCCAGAAACTAGCATTGGGCATTTGGCTGGTTGATTGGGGTTTAAAAGTTAGTTCAGTGACAGGGTACTGAGATGAACAGATTTAGCTTGGCAACTAATGACACATTAAAATCACTTAAGCATACAAGTGTTTATGTGCATATCACTGCTTTGTGATGGTTTTGGATTAAATCACTCTCATCGGTAAAAGCAAGGACTGAAGCCAGACTGCCTGAGTTAGACTTCCAACTCCATCACTTACAAGCTGTGTAACCTTGGACTAGTTCTTTATGCCTCATGTTATTCATCTGTGGAAAACTGGTAATAAGAGTACCAGTTAGCTCACAGGATTCCATGAATTAGTAAATGTTAAGCACATAGAACAATGCTAGATACACAAAGTGCTCCTCAGTGTAAGTTGCGTAATATATGTTAAGCATTATGTCTCAAGCTCTTTTTCTGCCTCACCTGTACTGTCCTAGGAGCTACTACAGGTAGCAGAACTACCAGGCATTAGAAAGTGGGAGCAAACAAGAGAGTGGAAATGAAAGCCGCTGGTAGATTTTCTGGAGCTGAGTTAATGCCCCTCCAAACCGCTACCATACTACCCTATTCTAAAATCTGTATTTTATTACAGAACTATTACATTTATGATTGCCTTAGCCATTCTTCATTTGACTACAATAAAATAATACACAAGAAGGGAATGAACAGTTAATGAGCTGGGAATTATCAGAAAACTGATCAGTATTTTTTCTTCCAGAAGGTCCTACAGTGGAGGGGAAGCAATGGAGGAACTCATGGAACCCAGTGGACAAAAATGGGCCAATATGGATCCAGAAGAAAGAATGTTGGCAGCCACTACAGCTTTTACCCATATCTGTGCAAGGCAGGGTGAGGGAGATGTCAGGAGAGATGCCCAGTCTATGCAATATGATCCCTACAGTAAAGCCTCAATAATTCCAGGAAAGCAGCCTCTCCCTGTGCAACTGCAGTACCCACACGTAGAAAGTAATGCCACTTCAGAAACAGTCTCAGAGGCCTCTCAAAGACTCCGAAAGCCAGTGATGAAGAGAAAGGTGTTGCGGAAGAAGCCAGGAGGGGAAGTCTTAGTGACAGATGAGTCAATTATCAGTGAATCGGAGTCTGGTACAGAAAGTGATATGGATCTCTGTGACTTAAGACAAAAGCTGATGAGTCTGCAGTTCCAGGAAGACAGGGAATCTCCAGCTGACATTTCACAAAAATTTAATTTACCACATGAATACCAAGGAATTTCTCAAGATGAGCTCATTTGCTATCTACGAAGAGAAGGAATGGCCCCTCCAGCTTATGAACAAGACCTGATTGTTGCCAGTCGACCAAAGTCCTTTATTCTCCCAAGGCTGGACCAGTTGAGCCGAAACCGGGGCAAGGTAGACCGCGTAGCCCGATACTTTGAGTACAAACGAGACTGGGACTCAATAAGGTTACCTGGTGAAGATAATAGAAAGGAATTACGCTGGGGTGTCCGAGAGCAGATGCTTTCTCGAACAGAACCCCAGTCCAAGCCTCAGCACATATATGTTCCAAACAATTACCTAGTGCCAACTGAGAAGAAAAGATCTGCCCTTCGCTGGGGTGTTCGTTGTGACCTCGCAAATGGTGTCATGCCCAGGAAGCTTCCCTTCCCTCTTTTTCCTTCTTAAGTGTTTTTTTAACCTCTTTTATGGGATTGTTTGGGGGTAACCTGGTTCTTTCTCTCTTTCCTTTTATTTAAGTAGAAACAACTAACTGAAAAGCCCATGGAACATTATAAAGACATCACCTACCATTGGTCTTTCCTAAGTCTACATCTCATTGGTATTAAATACTACTTCACTTCCTAATGACCACTCTCAAATCCGGTAATTGCAAGACAAATGCCAGAGAAAGAAAAACAGATCTGGTCTTTCACTTTGTCAGATAGCACTATTTCTGTTCTATACTGTTTTTAACCTTTGGCCAATGTGTGAGTTGCTGTCTTTAAAGTTGCTGGGTGTTAAGCTTACTCATTAAAGAATTTTTGGATTTTGTGAACTTGATCTTTTTTTTTACTTCTACTTCCTAAGTAAGATGATCTCAAAACTGGGTTATGATTCTCATTCCAATCATTACTTCCCATCATACTCTCACCACTTAAATAATGAGCACCAGAGGAAAGGAACAAAAAACTGTCATTTACGCACACACTCCTTAAAGGAAGGAAGGAAAGTAGCAACACAGATAATCCTCCATCACTAAAGGAACATAGTAAGTCCAGAAAACTTAAGTGATCTTTTTAAAACTAATGTTTTTTTTTGAGAGTGTGTGCAAGCACATGTGCATGAGTGGGGGAGGGGCAGAGAGAGAAAGAGGGAGACAGAATCTGAAGCAGGTTCCAGGCTCTGAACTGTCAGCACAGAGCCCGGCATGGGGCTTGAACTCACAAACTGTAAGATCATGACTTGAGCTAAAGTCGGACCCTTAACCGACTGAGCCACCCAAGAGCCTCAAGTGATTTTCAATAGATGCTCAGTAACAGTACTACATGACATACAGAATTCTAACCCAAGTTTAATTCCAGAATTACTTCAATAATGCATTGCCCTCCAATTGTCACTTCTAGAATACCATGCTTTTTATAATTTGCCACTGAGATTTTCTTGGAAATTATGCTTGTTGCTTGAAGGCTATTCCCACTATTAAACAGAACTTCTTCACTACGAATACTATCTGTAACTAGATGCAGACACAAATATCCAAGTGAATCTGGCCTATTTGGGTACAGACCAAAATGCTAATTCTGTTCACCTTAAATTGGTTCTATTCTTGATGCCTCTAATCCAACGGGGAACATCTAGAATCTGGAGACTGTCATTTGTAGCATTTGAAGCCATCAGAGGGACAGCAGAAACAGTTTGCTTGTTCAAGGGAAAACAGCTGTGCAACATAAAAATGAACAACTTTGACCATTACTATCTGCTAAAATATACTTGCTCCATAATGTTTGGGCCACATTCATCCAGTTCCACTGGAAGGCATTTATCAGGGAAAGAAATAATCAGTGACTCAAAGATAGATGTGGGATATGCTCACTGTAAAGTAAAAATTGCAAACTATCCAACAGTGAAATGATTAGGAATATCGTCCACTGAAAATAATGGGAAGCTATTAACAAAGTGCAAATTAAGTGAAACCAGTTGTAAACTATACAGTATGATCACAGTCATCTACACATGCAAAGCACAAGGAAAAATCGAAACCTTACTGGGTAATGAGATTAAAGGTAGTTTTTATACCTCTTTAAAAACCTTGAAAGCCACATGGCATTTTTATATGCAAATTACACCAATGACTTTATATTATCTCAACGCCCACTATCAACACATAGTTTTTAGTGACCTAGTTTAACCCTTTAACCAGAGAACTAGTCCAAAGGGCTTAAGCAGGTAGTAAGATTTGTGGCAAAAAGACTTGGGTCCAAGACTCCTGACAACGTGCATTGCTTCCTCCAGCACACCGCAGCACACCCAACGCCTGGAAGGGGGCTGCCACATTACCACAAAGAGGGAATCGTGTGTGCGCCATCGACTGTAAATATAATCAGCTATCGCTAGAGTTTCAATACGTTTTTTGAAGTTGAAAAGATTCAAATCTCAAAATATTAGTAGCCAATAGGGTAGTAGAAAGCGTTCTCCGTGATAACCTTTATTTTAAACCAACGAGGGAAGGAGGAATAGCCAAAGGATCAGGAGACACTATGATCACTAACAGTGAAAAGCAATCGCGTGGAAAGCAATCTCCTGAACAATTTTTAAAAAAGTCGCCACGCCTCCCTCTCCACAGACTATTGGAATCCTGACCTCTATTAGTATTTAGTTTTGTGACCAAACAATTCTGAGGCAGCAGAGACTTAACTCCACAGTCCAAGGGCCCTCTAAGTAAACCGAATTACAAGGAGTTCTTACTGCTGCGACTTTCTGCCAGAAGCATCAAGAAGCACCAGATACAAAAACAGGGTCCTAAGCGAGATCCCATATTCACCCACCAGCGCTTTCAAGAACAAGGTATGTAAAAGGGGGAGTGGAAAAGAGAAACATCCAGCTGTCTATACATTTAGCGTTTCTCTTTGGAGAACCCAGAAGATAATTCATCCCCAAATCCCCTTACTTACCTTCCGGTTGTCGACCACGCAGCTTTTCGCGAGACAGGAAGCTGTCACTTTGCGTCTTCTGCGCGCGCGCCCAGGGTCTCATGGGAGATGTAGTCCACCCTTGTGGGAAATGTAGTTCCAAGAGACACGCCAAAATCTGCCTAATATTTTCTAGTCTGACCACCATTTCCCCTCCGACAAAGCAGAATCTGGGACCTATGCTAACACAAGAATAAAATATAGGATAAATCTAGTGTTATAAAATAACGGAAAAGCAGTTTTTCAAGTCTCTGCTATCTGTATACGAAAACTAACATTGAAGAACCTGGTCCGACTTTATATCTACTTACATGAGTAAAAAGTTACCATTGTAAGACAAAAACATTTGCTATTATAATCCACATGTAAAGGCTGAAGAGGAATTTGATAACCTCAAAACAAACGATTAAGGTGCCCGAGAGTGACCGAACAGAGCTGGGGAGTCGTGCTTCAGCACCACGGAGAGATCATAACTAGGTCTTTGGTTTGTGAGTTTCTGCAGAGACGCTGATCCAAATCTAAAGATTCCAGTTAGAAAACTGATAACGCAGATGCGGATAAGAGGTGGAGGTTTTACCGCAAGGAAAACAGTTTTCTCATGATTGTTTTAGCAAAGGGCACATATCAGGATTAAAGTTAAAACAAGCAGGTATGTGGAAACATCACAGGTATTAGAACAGGGGCAGAAGTTTAGAACTTGGGTAACTTCACTCCCCCTTCTCATCTTTGCATTTGAATTAATTTGTCAAATGAAACTCATTCATTCTGCCCCTTTACTATCCTATGCAATTCTCTGGCCTTTCTGACATCTTTTAATACAGAAGCGGATATTTGGGAGGAAACGTGGGCACGAGTGCTTGAAACCGGGAATGGGTGAGCTGAATTGTCTGTAGTGAGTGGTGCTTAAAGAAGGTAGAACTCGCGAATCAGTGCGAAAATTGGGGCGGCTTAGAGTCTCAAGCTTTTGTTGGGTTAGCAGAAATTAGGGGAACACGAATGTTCACGACAATAGCGCCCCGTCGCCCGTTTCTAACACCTGGCACGGATGGGGTTACTGGTGGAATAGAAACCTGCCCCAGGATCACACTTCTCTGGCTCCGGCGGCCACAACTCCCCCTGCCCCCCCCCCCCCCCCCGGCGCTCGTGCGCCTGCGCGCCGCGCGGCGGATGCTCGCGGGCGCGTAAGCCCGCCCCCAGGGGAAGCCCATTGGCCGCTGACTGGGCCGGGCACTGCCTCGTGCCACGGGAGGGCGCACGTGCTGGGGGCGGGAGCTGCGATCTCGGCTATGGCGTCGTTACTTTGGGGAGGCGACGCCGGGGCGGCGGAGAGCGAGCGGCTGAACAGTCATGTAACCGCCGCTGAGGCGGGGAGGGGAAGTGGGCGGGAGCCAGAACCTCACTCTGAGAGGGAAATCTGCTGGGGGGGATGTGGCTGGGGGG